AATCATTCGATTCTGTAAAATGAAAATTTGTGGAGATAAAAGCGGTGGTATTATTTTCTGAGTTTAAAATATATTTTATATACTACTTTATATCTAAAATGCTCTATTCCCTCAACCAAAATAGTTGGTTTCCTGATTCCTCGAAACAAGCATTATTTTTGGGTCTAGGTCAAGAAGAATAAACTAGGCCACCGTAATACAAATATTCAAAACAGTACTTTTTGCAGCAGATTAAAAGGAAAATGCGTAGTGGTTTCAAATTCCTTAAGATTTGGTTGATTAAGATGAGCCTGGGATTGATATAATTTTGAATTCGAATAACTTTCACGGAAAGGAATCTCCCATGGTACATGTCTAAGACAGTTATTTTTAACTGTACCTTTATCGGTTGCATTTTCTACGTTTTTGAAGGGCACCATTTCAAAGCCTGGTTTCATTTATCTAACGCTGACCTTCTGTTTACAAGCATAACTCATAGTCAAAAATTATTGTTGAGATTTGTTTTTTACTTACCATATATTTTTAAGCTCTTCACCAATGGGTCACAATTTACCAAACAAAAGCTGATTTTTTTTGTCAAATTTTACCTGAGCCTTCAGGATTTTTTTTGTAAAGCCAAAATTGTAAACATGCATTATTCTACGTCATCAACATATTGCACGTATACAAATGAAAAATACTTTGAAAGTGAAAATACTTTGAATTATACATCAGCAACACACTATATACATTGCTCAGAAAAAAAGGTTTTTTTTCTCTTGTGTGCTGTATGTGTTGAATTTTAAATCTACATATGATTGCACCTAATTCTCCAGCTGTGTTCAGTTAAACCGGTTACACATGATGTTATATAACCAATCTTAAAAATGTAGCTGAATCGGATGATGTACGGCATTATAATATGTAGGTAATATTCGTGATTTAGTACAATATTGTCATAAACATAACCAAATTGGACTCGGGGGAGGGAATGTCCATTATATACAGGGCTTGTGTAATCTCCTTACAGGTAATCATATAGCCATTGTATGTGATTTGGATATTGCTCACTAATATGCCCATGCATTAGGCTCTTACAGAATCATACATTGTGCAATTCTAAAAAAATTGGTTCCTGAAATAATGTAATATGCAATACAGAATAAAATTAATGGTAGAATCTGGAAACCCCATTAAATGCTTAGAAAATTCCTAGAAATAGCCAAAAGTAGTATATTGTTTTTGGCATCGATATTACTTTATCTTTTGTTGATTACTATTTATCTAATTAACTGCTTATATCTATGTATAAGATGTGAGAATGGAAATCAAACTCAAATTCATAGTAAAAAATGCTCAGTATAAATAAAAGAAAACTTGTATGAAGAATGGAAACTTGACATGTAAAATTGAATTGGGTTCTTATAAATTTAAGGCAACATCCAAGGCCTTCTCTATACCAAGGATCGTATACATTAAGCCAATTGCTTTGACATCAAAATTGAACTACCTCTGAGTCTACTGTGGGTCTACTGACTAATACAACTCAGTAAATGATGTGTCTACCCAATATTGTCTAGTTGCTTTAATCATCAATTGAACTACATCTGAGTCCACTGTTGGTTCACTGATCAACAGACAACACAGTATATGATGTGTTTAACTGTAATGTCTACCCAATGTTGTCTAGTTGCTTTGATCATCAATTGAACTACCTCTGAGTATACATTTTATAACAACACAGTAAATGATGTGTTTAACTGTAGTGTCTACCTAATGTTGTCTAGTTGCTTTGATCAATTGAACTACCTCTGATTATACTGTAGGTCAACTGACTAACCCAACACAGTAAATTATGTGTTTGACTGTAATGTCTACCTAATGTCGTCTAGTTGCTTTGACCATCAATTGAACTACCTCTGAGTCTACTGTGCTACTGACTAACACAACACAGTAAATGATGTGTTTAACTGTAGTGTCTACCCAATGTAGTGTAGTTGCTTTGATCATCAATTGAACTACCTCTGATTCTACTGTGGATCAACTGATTAACACAACACAGTAAATGATGTGTTTGACTGTAGTGTCTAACCGATGTTGTCTAGTTGCTTTGATCAACAATTGAACTACTCTGAGTCTACTGTTCAACAACACAGTAAATGATGTGTTTAGCTGTGGTTTCTGCTCAATGTCGTCTAATTGCTTTGATAATTAATTGAACTACCTTTTGAGTCTATTGTTTATAACAACACAGTAAATGATGTGTTTAATTGTAGTGTCTACCCAAAGTTGTCTAGTTACTTTGATCAACAATTGAACTACCTCATGAGTCTACTTTTTTATAACAACAGAGTAGATGATGTGTTTAACTGTAGTGTCTACCCAATGTTGTCTAGTTGCTTTGATTATTAACTGAACTACCTCTGAGTCTACTGCAGGTCCACTAAATAAGACGACGTCGTTACTTATGGTTATGTCTTAATTAATCTCTTAGTTTTCTTCGCCACTGTTCTATCCCTAAATAGTTACATCATCTCATGCCTCAAATTATTGTTAATATCTTAAGAGAGTATTCAACAAACATAACAAACTTCTTTTTTCTATATCATATTGTAATATTGCAGTAGAAGTATACAGTATAAATCGTGATAGTAGAAGTGTTCAGTTATAAGATAAGTATGCTTTAAGCATAAAACCAACAAAGGGACAAAATGTAATACTTGTAGAACAGGCAGTACAAGTATTTGATATGCTATTCAAAATAGTATTGGGTTTAAATATTAGTTTATTGCCCTTAGAATTTACCTTTTAATTCAACCGTTCTATTTACAATATATTTATCTTAAATTGAAGTACACAAGATGAATTTTAATTAACATAACGCATGTTAAATACTGTTCACTTTGTAGTAGGCCTACATAATATTTCAGTAAAATCTCAATTTTAAATTTCCCAAATGACCGTGGTTGATACATATAAGTAATTAGTTGGAACGAATGTGTACTTCGAACATTTAAAAAAGAGAGTGGATCTAAAAAAGGGTATAGAAAAAATAATTAACGTTACACATATGATAATGTTTAGTTGTATTATTTTTATTGGAATTTAAATTAATGTCAAAGTTAGATCAAGTTAAAAAGCGGTCCAAACCCATAAAAATTTGTAGATCTGCCGGGAATTGAACCCGTCCCTCCCGCATCGAAATGCGGAACACTTAACACTAGGCTAGCAACACGTCCCAATTATTTATCCTTTTAATCTTGTACGGTTTTATAAATGTGGTACCATAGGTAGTATAAAACAATGGAATAATGGGAACATTTCTTAACGAAACCTGAAAAGAAAATCGAACCATAATGGAGCATTTTCCCGTTACAATCCTCTTAGGAAAGCCTAAGCATTGAATTGCTCTGAAAAATAAATGACGGAAAACAACGAAGAAGTCTTTCGACGGCTTCAGGTTTACAATATTACCAGTATTGGCCGCTGTCCCAAACCTCTCCTGATATTAGATAGTAACTCGGAAAACGTTTTACTCTATTCCATTCCTTTCTCTCATTGAGTAAATTAAATAAAGAAACAGAGATTTTATCTCTGCATTTGTTAAATTTGCGCACTCAATGTCTAGATGTAATTTAGATAAACGCTGTTATTAATTTAAGGGAAAGGTGGTTGATTATTTAGTAAATTATTTGTTTAAATGTGACATTTTTTGAAACTATACCAAGCTTAGGTGAAAGGTAGGAAGCAGTACCACCAAGGTAGGATGACTTCCCGAAAAGTATTTCGTGTAAGTTTTTATGTTTTGCAGGTTGTCTAAGATGTATGCTAAATGTTGGCTGGGTTACGTGTACAAGATTTGTGTTTGCATTAAAAATTATTTAAAACCACACCACAGAGAAGTATGTTACAGTGGATACACACTCTTGGGACAACCGAGCGGCCTCAGCTTTGGTATTATGCGGTGGATATACTTGTGACGAAGGAAGAGCCCGAGCGAAGAGTACTATGCGGAAATTCCTATCACACAGGGCACAGGGTCCTCCTCCACTGTGAGCACTGTATATGAGGGCGAGGGAGGTGTTCTTGGACACCATTGGTGCTAGACACCACTTATGTACCAATGAATGTTTCCTCTATACCTTACTTCTCTGTGACCACGTGGACTTGTCTTCCATCAACCATGTTACCAATTAGAGGATGTTTTCGCAGGGACATTGGCAGGAATGTGACGAGGACAGTAGTCATGAGGAGGAGGGTGTTCTTAGACACCATTGGTGCTAGACACCACTTATGTACCAATGAATGTTTCCTCTGTACCTAATGCTATCAACCGTGATGTGTTCGCAGGGACATTGGCAGGAATGTGACGAGGACAGTAGTCATGAGGAAGAAGGTGTTCGACACCATTGGTGCTAGACACCACTTATGTACCAATGAATGTTTCCTCTGTACCTAATGCTATCAACCGTGATGTGTTCGCAGGGACATTGGCAGGAATGTGACGAGGACAGTAGTCATGAGGAGGAAGGTGTTCTTAGACACCACTTATGTACCAATGAATGTTTCCTCTGTACCTAATGCTATCAACCGTGACGTTTTCGCAGGGACATTGGCAGGAATGTGACGAGGACAGTAGTCATGAGGAGGAAGGTGTTCTTAGACACCATTGGTGCTAGACACCACTTATGTACCAATGAATGTTTCCTCTGTACCTAATGCTATCAACCGTGATGTTTTCGCAGGGACATTGGCAGGAATGTGACGAGGACAGTAGTCATGAGGAGGAAGGTGTTCTTAGACACCATTGGTGCTAGACACCACTTATGTACCAATGAATGTTTCCTCTGTACCTAATGCTATCAACCGTGATGTTTTCGCAGGGACATTGGCAGGAATGTGACGAGGACAGTAGTCATGAGGAGGGAGGTGTTCTTAGACACCATTGGTGCTAGACACCACTTATGTACCAATGAATGTTTCCTCTGTACCTAATGCTATCAACCGTGATGTTTTCGCAGGGACATTGGCAGGAATGTGACGAGGACAGTAGTCATGAGGAGGCGCCGGGTTACTGTGTGGCTGCTGCTATTGGCGGCAGTCCACGGGGCTCGCACTGCAGACCCTCAATTGTCCGACACGACGGCCACCAACACTGACCTCCCGGAAACTACCACAGGTTAGTTACTGAAAACGGCACTTACGTATTAGCCGAAACCAACGATCACATAACACCGGACACCCTCATACATCGCGCTGTGCTGGTTAAGGTTAGGTTAGATATGGTCTTTATGAGTACCTAAACTAACATAACCTAACCTTAGATAATCTAACCTAACCTAATCCAACCTATCATAACCCTAACCTAACCTAACCTACCCTAACCCTAGTTACTGTTAAAAAGCGATACTTACGTATTAGCCGGACCACACACTTATACAGCGCGCTGCGGTGGTTTGGTTAGTCGTGTGGTCATTATTAGTACCTAACCCTAACCGAACGTAACCTAACCTAACATAACCTACAATAACATATCATACCCTAACATAACCTTACCTAACAATAAATTAACCCTAGCCTAACATATCCTAACATAATCCAAAAAGAGTGTGGTCTGGCTAATACTTAAGTAAAAAAAAAACTTTTATATTTCCATTGCTTATTTTTATGCCAGAATTTTTTTTTTAGTTATGCTTTCTCTCCAGCTACACATTATATGGAGAAAATCCCTATTGTTTTCGTCAAACTTTTGCTTTTTAGTTAAGAGTGGAAAACCCATTTTGGGCCCCCCTGAACCCAAAAACTAAGTTTTCGAAGTGATGTCTTTGTGTGTGCGTACAGAGCTACAGACTACACCTGTGGTCTGATTTTTATTAACTTTGGTTTTAGGGTACTACGTCAGAGACATCAGTGTCCAGGATTTTTTTTATTACTTCAATTTTTATTATAGTCCTAGTGATATAGTCCTTTAGAATCTTTATAAAACTGTACAGCCCTTATTGCAGTGGAAATTACGGTTCAAAAATTATTGCAACTTATGTGATTATCCCATAAAACCCATAAAATTACGGAAAATCAGACTCCGAAAAAACTGTTTAACCGATTTCAACTAAAACTTAATATGTTATGGTCCTTTTAACTCTAATGGAAATGATATAACACTAAATACTGTGAAAATTACTATTGAAATGTTATGGCAGCTTTTGTGATTTTACTCATGTGATGTCACTCCCACCGCTTGCCTATGATAAGGGGGGTTTGACAAGATGATGGGAGAAATTATGTGTTATATTGCTGATACAGTATATTTTGTAAGTGAATAGTTCTCTGGAAGTTTGTTTACCTGTTTTTATGTGCAGCTTCATCAACACATAGATAAAATGTGCATCACATACAAACCCATAACCCCATTAAATACTCGTAAATACAAAATCTATCTAACTTCTATAGCAGTCTACCTCTCGTAGTTTAATCCTCTCTTCTTTGCTAAGTCCTCTGTCATAATTTTAAACAATTTATTCTGCCAAAAAAATTTTCCCCAAAACCACTTGGATATCTTATTTACGCCCGAAGTTACTCATACACGACATGGCCCAGCAGAATTTCAGCCCGGAATGTTTAGGGTTAGGTTAAGAACCACAACACAAGCACCAGCTACAATATTCACAAACCCAGTGATGTATTATTCTCAGGCAGCTACCCCTGAGTTGAGGGTGGTGGATTGTTTCTAAATGCTGCTCCACTACCCTAACATAGACCCAGCATACAGTCATCCCATACAAAACTCTCACAGGCACGTCATGGTGCATGTCAAAAAAATTTACTTTAATATACAAAATGTGTAAATTATATAAAATTGTATTGAATCCTAATTGTTTTATTATCCAAACAAGATACGAAATACAGGGTGATTCAAAAAGGACTTCACAACTTTGAAAATTCATATAAATCTTATTAAACAAGGTACAGAGCTGGTTTTGGTGTTGTTTTAAAGGAAAACACTTTAAGTTTTTTTTAACCTTAAACTTAAGATGTTCTATGTGACTTCCGTTGGATTTGGGGAAAATAATTATTTAGGTATGAAAAAATAGTGAAAACCGTTAAAAATTAGAGAGAAATTCACAAAATTTTGAAAGTAGGGCTTTTTTTGACAGTGAAGGAGTGTGATACACCCACTTCTTGAGATTTATATGAATTTTCAAAGTTGTAAAGTCCTTTTTGAATCACCCTGTATATTAGACAAAAAAAAATATATCGTGAGGTAAATAATATACAATTTTAAAATACGTTACGTATATTATATTAAATCTACAAATTCATTAATTAAATTTAATAAATTAACCAGAAACGTTTTCAAACATTGTTCGAAATGGATTGTGACGATTCAATTGTTTACGACTCTGTAATAAAGGTTTTAAAATATCGTTTACTTATTTTAACGTTAATGCTTATAAAAAGTACATATTGTAGATTAAAACATCAAAGAACAGGAAAATAACTTCAAACAACAACGGAATTTCTTTTCCCCGTTGTCAAAGTTGGTTGTTTTGTGGTTTGGCCAAAATAACCGTTTATTTGCTCTTGTTTTTCTGTATGGTTTTGTGGTTTAGCAGGTAACCATAACATTAAATGTGGTTCATTTAAAGTTCATTGAGGTTTGGTGAAATCAATTGATGAAGATGGCACTGCATGTTTAAGGTGCAGAATATGCAATAATTAATTGAGGAAATAGTTGGCCACTGAATAATACAAGGATTATTTCGATACAGATGTTATGTAATTTTAATAGATCGCATTTAGAGATGAAAATTTGGAAAAGGGGAGTTTCTAAGAGTATTGCTAAATCTGTAGTATTAATATGCAATAGTTTTAAATCCTTATTATTTGCGAACCTTAAGGCACCAATGGTTTTAATATTAATGTTACTAAGAGTTTAGAAGCTGTTTAAGTTAGTGGATACATTCTTTACATCTCTTTTACTTAAATTGATCAATTAAAATTATTACCTTATCCAACCACAGTTGTTGATAAGATGAATAGTTTTGTTCCTTAGAACTTCAGGTAATTTTGTATGCAACCACATCATCAATGTATTACATTGTGTTAAATAAATTATTCAGACAAAAAGCTGACCAGTCAAATATTATTTGGCTTCTTTCCAGTCAAAATATTTATTTGATACATATTACACAATAATTTGATCATATAATAATTTGATACAAGTTGCAAATTAAAGAAGTATAAAATAGAAGAACAAAACAAACTGAAATACAGGTGGCACTGGAGAGAAGAAGAAACATCATGATTCAGTCAGTTTCATTTAGTCAGTGCCAGTGATAAGACAGTGTTTAGCCTGTACAGTTTTAATCAGTTTTATCAATTTGTATTCCAATTTAACTATTCTATCAACATGATAAGTTTCAATTATTGTGATTGTGACAGTTTTTAAAAGAATCTATCGTCATACCACAATGTATTAATACGTATGATGTGATTGCATACATGATGAAATTCTAAGGAACGAAACTAGTCATCATACAAACATCTGTGGTGGGATAAGGTAATCATTTCATTTTATCAATAATATATTCCAACTAAGATACACAAAGGGTAATAATGATTGACTTAAAGTTGCATTTTTGTTGTGGTAATGTTAAGAAATTATTCAAAGAGAAAGTAATATAACTTTTACCATGAGATTTAGGCAGTAAGGAGAAGAGAAAAGAATGAAATAAGAAAGAAAGACTAGAGTGCTTGGTTTTTCACAATTTATTTGTACAGCTCGCATATAAATGTGAAATAAAACACACACAATAATGGTTTGTGAAACCTATATAAATTGAAATAATACTTTGTATGCAAGCCTACTTCTTTCTTCTTCATTCGAAAAAGCTTTATTCCTATTTGAATTAATGTACCTTACATATTGATTTTTACATATTGATTTTTTTGAATTCAGGATATATACACTGTATATATCCTGAATAATATCCTAAAAATTCATACCATCGTTTAATTAACACTGTATATTATACAGTGTTAATTAAACGATGGTATGAATAGTACGATAAACTTAAGGCGACGTAAATAAGAAATAATAGGAGTAAAAATATATTGAAAAAAATTGAGACGGATTGAATGATATTTGAAACCTTACAAACTTTGGCGTCCAGTGCTATAAACAATTCTTTTAAGGGGACCAAATAATAAATTGCAGTGATAAAACTGCAGTATCTTCACAAAATAAAAACATGGTAAAGTTACATGGGCCCGTTTATTTATACGGGTCTGTATCTTTAGTGTAAAACGACTTGTTTTACTGCAGTTCTTTAGTCAGGGTGGGCAATTTACTTCCTTCATTTCCCTTGGGACGTTATTTTTACCATGTGAAACACCCATTTTTATTTCTCCCCCGATACCATAGTATATGAAGAAAGTATTGTTTTCGTCTAAATTTTCGAGATGAGTTTTGAGTGGATATATCCGTTTTGGGTCCCACACAAAAATGTGGTTTCCAAAGTTATGTCTCTGTGTATGTGGGTGTGTACAAACCTACAACCCACACCTGTAGTCCGATTTTGAGTTAATTTAGTATGTAGGCACTAATATTCATGGTATGACCAGGCGTTTTCCATTTTTTCGAAATGTTTTTTTTAACGGCTATTTTCCCATAAAAATCCATAAAATAACGGGAACAAAATTGTACAAATCCCATTTTCGTAAAAATTACGGTTCAAAAGTTAATTCAATTCAATTCAAAACATCTTTATTTGTTCATGTACATAAAATACAATAAATAGTGTCACAGAAATACAACTGTTATTGTAACTTATGTTATTTCCCCATAAAAACACTGTAAGAAACAAAAAATGTGATTTAAAGACAAATCCGGTATTGATTAAAATAATGGTCCTTATAATGATAAAAAACAGTGCAACCCCCATTGATGAAACAATTATGGTACAAAAGTTATTTGAAACATTTGACATTTTCCCGATGAAATATCATAATTACTCTCATACCGCTTACTAAAATAAAAGTTGTGTACAAGCTAATAGAAGAAAGTATGTGTCAGATTGCTGATACTGTTTATTATACCATTTATACTATGTAGAGAGCTTATTTTATGTTATACTGCAAATAGTGCAAATTTATTCGTCGTGACTTTGGAAACATTAT